CAGGACATTATGCAAGGTTGTGAGGACCAGTGTGGGTAACTATTGAGCTCATGGGCATGAAGAACAGACAGAAAGTATACTTGGCTGGCATTGAAGACCAATGCATATTAGGATTGGATTATTTGCTACCGAGGAAGTGTGTAGTTAACTTCGATAAAATGAAGTTTGGAAACAACAAAGGCCAGTTTCCAGTAAGTGTTGCTGCATCCGTTGATCTGCATGTCACAGCACTTAAATCAACTACAATGCCCCCTATGTCAGAGAAGATAATTTGGGGTAAGATAAAAGAACATCCCCAAGGAAGCCCAAAGGTTGTGGAAGCAGTGGAAGACCCATCCAGGCCAGCGGATTTGAAGATTGGAAAGTCGCTTGTGGCAGGTCATCAAGTAATACCTATAACAGTGGCTAATTTCTCTAAATTCTGTACATTTAATTAAGTTATTGTTAATTGTTTATTGGTTTAAAGTAAGTGGCTATTGTTCGGGACGAACAATTCTAAGGAAGAGGCAGTGTTACGACAGCGGGGGTCACGTGACGCTAGTAACACGTCATGCGCTTCTAGAACGTTCAGGAAACCTCGAGAGGCTACTAGATATGCGGTAGTCTTGTATATAAGCCGCCAAGAACTGACGGCAACAATGTGTAATTGAACTGAGGAGAGAGAGAGACGTATTCTTTAGTCGAGCACGTGAGACGTCAGTTGTGAATTATAACGTTTGTTAAAGCGTGACTGTGGAAATTAAGTGTATTGCGAAGTTGTATTTAGAAAGAATAAACCAGTTTTATTTAAGAAAGGACTTGTTTCGCTAAAGTTTATTCGGAAAGAAATTATACTGAAAATTAACTAACGAACGGAGGCGTAACAATATTATTATTTCTACATTTGAAATAATAAGATTATTTGGAAACCTTAAATGATGTCTTAGATACATTTAATTAAAGGAGTAATGGGAAACATCAATAAACTCTTGAATGATTTTAATGTACTCCCCACCCACACCCACATGTATCAATTACATTGTATCTTTTCATAAAAAATACCAAAGTAAATATATCTTTATGCTTATTAATGACTGTTTTTTTTTCTTCCAGAATGAATCTAACAGATTTAGTTTCAAAATATAAAGCATTGTGGTGGTGGTGATGGTTTTGGCCTAGTGTAAGTCTTTGCTTATAAATGACAACAAGCAGAATATTTGAACAAGTCGAGGCAATGCAAGTAATACCTACTGCTAGCAGGGATAGTGAATCTCAAAAACATGTTACTAATTGGACTTGTTGTACCTTGTTTCAAGAACAGACAGGTGAATCTCTTGTTTATCCATCAACAGGTACTAGAAAAAGTTTTGGTTCACTGCTAGGTTACCAAATCCTAGCGAGCAACTTGTTGACTTTTCAACAGTTAGGGTGTTTACCTATGATAGTAGACATAGCTAGGTTGGACAATGGTCAAAGAATAAAATTAGACATAGCTAGGTTTGAAAATGGTCAAAGAACAGAAAAAACATTGAAATTTAAAAAACTGACTGACACAAGCCATGCTTTAAACAAAAGTTCCATTTTCAAGATACAGAGATCCAGGAGCTTAGATCATAAGTGGCCCTACAGACTACAAGCTCTGTGAAAACACAATCCGGTTTAGGACTTCTTATACTAAAGGTCAAGGAAACACTGTCTGTTTCTTCCTTGATGAGTCTGAGTCTGGAGAACATTGCTTTGGACAGCTGCTTTTGATGTTGACAGAATTTCAAATGACTTGCTACAGATATTCAAGATACAAAGCTGTTGGCGAACCACAGGAAATGCTTGACAGCTCTTCACAACAGAGCTAGGGCTGCAGAAAAAAAGGGAGAGAGGAGATGGTAGCCAAGTATTAATAGAGTGTTAAGTATTAGATGAACTTGTTTCCTACACTACAGAAGCAGCTTAAGACATTTTTAAACTCTCTGACTTGCTGAAGGTTTATACTTCTATGGTTAAACAGCCATGGACACATGTTCCAAACAGGGTAAACTCAACTAGACTAAAAAACAGACTTCAACATCTTGTCCCTGATCTAAAGGCAGTATTTAGTCCACCTCATGTTCAATTGTAAAAGTTCTTGTTTCGTTCTTTTCTTTACATTTGTCTTACCTTAATGGCAAAAGATTCTACTACTCTAAGGTATAATGCTGGAATATCTTGCCATTAGCTACGATATCTAGTTAGTAGTCAGAAGATGAGCACACTACTACTACATTTTCAGTTGGGTAATTGTAATGAAAATAACAGAACATGAACTTCGATAGTTGCATTTAATAAAAGTAGAGAAGCAATGCTTGCCTTCAATGGTGATACTGGTGCAGTTCTCTGGTTTGCCTTTGGAAACAACTTTGACTCAGATGGCATACATTTCATAAAAGGCACTAACGTTATCATGTGAGGTTTCATCACAAAACAAGAATGCTTCAATGGTACATTTGATGTAGACTGTCACCAGAGAGCAGTACCTGACTCCTTTCTTGCCCTGGTAAATATTATATTGCATGGTCTAAATATAAAAGATCAGTACAATAAAGAAATATCTACAGCATATACATTCCTAATGATAGCAGAGCTACTGACTTTCAATGCTATCAAAAATGCATGATTCAGAGTTGAAATAGGGAAACTATTGTCTGGGTACGTGGTACTTGTCTTCCATACTTAAACTCAGAAAGAACACCTGTTGGACAAGTGCCATAACTTGAGCTTTCCATCTTCCTTGACAGAGTGATGCAGATATCTGCTGACATGGGCAACACTATTTGTGCACTTTATGGAAGTTCAAACGATGTGTGTTCTCTGAAATTCACAAATGGACTGTTGACTATTTGAGTTGTTGATAGCATTGACCATAATCCAAGTATGAGAACGGTCAAAGGTTAGTTTCATGGAACAGCTATATCCGTCAGTCAACACCCCAACAAAATCTCACTTGAAACAGATCACACCATTGTTGCTATAAATCCTGGTATCCAATCAGAAAACTTACTGATCACACCATTGTTGCTATAAATCCTGGTATCCAGTCAGAAAACTTACTGATCACACCATTGTTGCTATAAATCCTGGTATCCAGTCAGAAAACTTACTGATCACACCATTGTTGCTATAAATCCTGGTATCCAATCAGAAAACTTACTGAACTTCGTGTATATCCAGCCAGCGTCAATACTTCCAAATGATCATTTTGTACCTGTTTTACATGGACAAGCAAAGTTGCTATGAAATCTATTATCAGAAGCAACAAAATCTGAGTATGCATGCCACAGAAATGTTCAAAATCTACTAAAAACATTGACAATAATGACTTTGTCCTATGGCCAGTTTTCATGCAGTATTTCAACTTCCTCTGAGCAGGCTTCCTGTTATAACAGTACTACTGCCTGTATTCCAGGAAAATTCTTATTCAGTAGCAGTAATTTTGAATTCAATAGAGGACATAAAAGTATCAACAAAATATGTCAGACATCAACCATAGAAACTGACAAGCCCATGTTTCGAACTGGTAAGCAAATGTCTATGACAAGGATAATTATGTAGTTATGCACATAGAGATAATTGAACCAAAGCTTAGGAGACACTCGTTCGAGAACAGTGGTTGGACCATTGTT